CCAGATGGGACACGGGGTTAGTGTGGACCAATTCCTGCACATGCAGAATCCTTTGTTCAGTGCCAGCTGGCTTCAAGCACAGTGATTGTTTTTGTACTGTTTCTCTGACCCTGGGCTCAGCCTCGGTGTGTGCCAGCCACCCAGGTCTGATTGCTGTCTCTGCCCTCGAGTCTGGTCTGCCCACTGGGGGCTGCACCCCAACCCTTCACTGCTATCATGCCTGCTGGGGTCCCATTACTTCTGTCTCTGTCCTTCTCCCTACCATTCTGTCTCCACTGTTTGCTAAATTAAGTCCCCCTTCAGCTGTCTCAGTGCACAATTCTCAGACATGTTTGTGTTTTAAACAGAGAATCCTTGGTTGAATTATAGCTGTCCCACTTCAGTGGGAAAGAACTGGAGATCTTCTCATGCCAACATGATGCTGACTTTACCAGTTTTGGTTTTTTATTTTCTTTATGTCCTCATCTAATTTTGTATCAGAGATATAGAGGCTTCATAAAATGAGTTGGAGAGTATATACTTCTTTTTCTCTTTATTTTTTATTTTTGGATTTGTGTAGAATTGCTCTTCTTCCTTAAATGCTAGATAGAATACAGCAGTGATATACCAACCTCAGTATTTGGTGTGTGTGTTGAAAGAGTTAGGGGCGTGAATTATGAATTCAAGTGCTTGAATGATATAAGACCATTAAAGTTATATTTATTCTCCGGTCACTTTTGGTAATTTGTGACCACATTTATTAATGTACTATCTAAGTTGTCCGATTTATTGGCATAACATTATTTATAATATCCTCTCCTTATCCTTTTAATGTCTACAAGATCCATATGATATATCTTCTTTCATTCCTGGTATTAGTAATTTATGTTTCCTCCCTCTCTTCTTGCTCAATCTTTTTAAAAGTTTATTGGTTTTATTAATTTTCTAAGAACTTCTGGCATTTTAAGTTTCCTTTTTTGTCATTATTCTCTCCTCTTGATTTATTATGAACTGTGTCTATTCCCTTGTATTTCATTGTCTCTTTTTCAGATGGAAGTGGAAAGCATCGATTTTATCCCTTTTCTAATATAAGCATTTGAAGCAATACATATTCTCTAAGGATTTAGCTACATCAAATTTCAATAACTTTTTTTTATTATCTAGGTCAAAGTATTTTCTAACTTACCTTGTGAATTCTTCTTTGACCCTTGGAATCTTTAGTAGTATATTATTTAACTTCCCAAATAATTGGGAAATTTGTATCTTTTGTTACAGATTTTTAATTTAATTCCACTTGATCAAACAACATTCTATATGATTTCACCCTTCAGAGTACATGGCCCAGTATATATGGTCTAACTTGGTTTGTGTTTCATCTATGGTTGTGGATTTCTTTGTATTTCCCTTTAATACTTCATATTTTGCTTTATGTGTTTAGAACAGTGATGGCGAACCTATGACACGCATGTCAGAGGTGACACACAAACTCATTTTTTGGGTTGATTTTTCTTTGTTAAATGGCATTTAAATATATAAAATAAATATCAAAAATATAAACCTTTGTTTTACTATGGCTGCAAATATCAAAAAATTTCTATATGTGACATAGCACCAGAGTTCAGTTAGGGTTTTTCAAAATGCTGACACACCAAGCTCAAACGGTTCGCCATCACTGGTTTAGAAGCTTGTTCATTAGATACAAACACACTTAAAATTGTTTTGTCTTCTTGATTAATTGACCATTTTATAATTTTACTGCCTTTCTTTTTCTTTGATGATACCCTTCATCTTTTAAAGCTACTTTGTCTGATAGTAGTATAGCCATGCCAGCTTTCTTACACTTACATGTAAGCATGTTTCCTTCCATCCTTCCACTTTCAGGTAGTTAGTGTGTTCAAATTGTGTTTCTTATAAACATCATGTAGCTATCTTTCTTTTTCTTTTTATCTATTCTGACATTCTCTGCTCCAGAATAAGTTCCAGTTGGACTAATAGAAATGTAAAAATTACACTATTACAGTAGCAGAAGAAACTATGGGAGATTTTTAAAAATAATTTTGGGACAACAGAGGATCTTTCTAACTACAACACAAAATCCAGAATCCTACACACACACAAAAGGAAAGAAGGGAGGAAGGGGGAAGAGAGAGAGAGAGAGAGAGAGAGAGAAATGAATGACATGACTCCATAAAAAGTTTTGAATTGCAAAATGGACCATAAGCAGTCAAAGGCAAATGACAGACAAGAAAAACTTTTTGTATTTCATGTCATAGCTACAAGATTTACTTCCTTACTACTTAAACCTTTTCTACAAATCCATAAGAAAATAAAGACTAATAGAAAAATGGGGACATGATATGTCAAACTTGTTCATAAAAAAGGAATTATAAACATATTTTGAATATATAGATTCTTGACTTTTCTCAGAACAATGTAAGTAAACACATTCTCATAGTACTTTTTACCTATCACTAAAACCACTCGTATACAATGTTGTTTAAGTGTGAATTGATACCATTTTTAAGGGAAGGCAGTTCTGTAGATAATAGCTATCTGTCAGAATATGCAATTTATATATCCTTTGACCCAGTAATTCCATTTCTCAAATTTATCTAGTAGACATACTGGCCCATTTACAAAATGTTCTGCAGTTTATTCATCACAGCATTGTTTATAGTTGTAAAATTGGCAACAACATAAATATATGTCAGTTGAATCCAGTTAAATAAATTATGATATATAGCACTAAAAGAGAATATTCCACAATAGTTAAAATAATGAAGAAACTGCTCTATATGTACTGATAATGAATAGTCTCCAAGATGCAAAATGAAGTGAAAAACAAAAGGTATAAAAAGTGAGACTAGTCTGCTACTATTTGTATAAATAATCTACACTAATAAAAGAGAAAAATGGTAATTGGCATACGATGCTACCCTTTTCATTGGCTAATCAGGGCTATATGCAAATTAACTGCCAACTAAGATTGGCAGTTAACTGCCAACAAGATGGCAGTTAATTTGCATATGTAGGCACAATACAGGGAGGCGAAGGGAAAGCAGGAAGAAGCCCCCTGCCATTGACAGTGATCAGAAACCCAGGGGGGATCTAAGAACTGGGGGGCAGGGCACAAGCGGCCCTGGGGCCGCCTTTGCCCTGCC